GTTAAATGACAACTTTGAGTTAAGCACTGGTGTTCCTTACCAAAGGAAAAAAATCTCAATATAGGCAGTTTAAATGAGTTTTACTGTGCCTAGAAAAAGGACAGATTGGAATGTGACAAAAAGGAAGCCTAAGACAGAGGCATTTTAGTATACTTACTATGCTCCTAAGGTCCCTGGGTGGTGCAAGCAGTTTGCAATCATCGGCTACTAACCTAAAGGTTGGTGGTTTGAACCTACCCAGTGGCTCCACATAAGAAAGACCTAGTGATCTGCTTCCATAAAGATTGTTGTTGTTGTTGTTGTTCCACATCCTCCCAATAGTTACCTCTTCCCTGTAGTGCCCTTATTTTTAAAATCAAATGTCATCTTTAAACATATGCCCAATTTTGCTTCATTTACCTGAAAGTAAAATTATAGTAATTAAGAGTATATGATTGCTTCAGAGTTGAATGATAAGGAGTATATAGAATTCTGTGGATAGAAATAGTTCATGTCCTCTAGGGCCTCAAGTACATTTTTAGAAGAAGCAAAAATATTTAAACACAGAAGAGGAGCAACAGCTGAAAAATTATTATTTTGAATACACCAGCATTTCCTTGGGATGGACAATGTGGTGATATTCTGATTTAAAGTATGTTTAGTGTGTGGATTTCACCAAGTGAGCCATTCTTAATATTAGAGAGCAAGGGACATTAACAACATGTAAGAAGGAAAGTGGCAACCATTGGAATTTGCAGAGAATAACTATGGCAAAGAAAACACACTTCCTTTTTCCTAAAATAATTAGATTAGTACATCAAGGTGAATATCTGTCTCTCTCTCACACACACACACACACACTCAAGTATGTAATGGTTTCAACAAGGCATTAGATAAAATCTTTCATGATGCCCTAAAGGGTACATTGGATAACTTGGATTGGGTAATATTATAGTAAGTACAACTAGTTAAACTAACATGCTAAAGAATGTGGAAATTAGCTTACAGGGAGGCCTCAGCTGTTACGTAACTGTGTCTCTTCTAGTTCTTTCCCTCTTAAACACTTTTCTTTCTTAATCTTGGATTGGGATAGAAAGTATGTTCGTGGCTTAGGGTTAAAATGGTGTCATGAATTAGTACTTTAAATCACATCCTCTAATCCAAAAGCATAGTATATGAAAAGATAAAACAAAAATGACCAAAAAAAAGAAAAAAAAGAAAACTCACTGCCATTGAGTCAGATCTTACTCATAGCACCTCTCCCAAGGCAGTATCACTACGGAAGTAGATTGCCCAAGGAGTGCCTGGTGAGTTTGAACCGCCAGCCTTCTGGTTAGCAGTCAAATGCCTTAGACATAGTCAGGCTCAAAAACAAAGGTAAATGTGTTCATGAACCAAAGAGAGATTAGAAATGCAAATTGGTGAATCTGAATGGTCCAAAGCAGAGGTTACTTTAGAGGTCGGCACCTGCAGAGGAGCACTTGAGCTGGGTGGAGGAGCCAGACTGAACACTGAAGTTCTGGAGAGGGGTTTCCACTGCTTGTTGAAGTGGATTTGTTGCAGAGCGACCGCTGGGGGCTTAAGCTATAGAGGGTGGTGGGAGCACAATGACTCAACCTTGCAAATAGGAACCAAAGTGAACTGATCTCTGTTTCAGAGCCTGTATCTGAAATTTCCCAAATATAACTACAAGAAAGGAGCTCTGAAATGCTGTTTTGAGATCTGTTTCTGGACTGTGGTCCCAACTGCAAAACTGCCAGAGGAAAAGTTATGTCTCTGAAATCACTCAGCTTCAATATTGGAGAAAAAAGGACTAGGAAAGAGTTATCAGAGAAGGGGAGAAAAAAACAATAAATACTACAAATGTACTCAAAAAGAGCCTATAAAAAAACCTTGCTTTATGAAGAAATTTAATGCTAAGAAAGACCGCAAACAAAATAAACATTTGGAATTTGTATTCATGCTAAAGTAGTTTTATTGACAGGCTGGCAAAAATTCTTAAATAAATATGATTAAAATGCTTAAAGACATAATTTAAAGAATAACTTCCATTAAAAGAAATTATGAAACAAATTTTTTTAAATGAAATAATTAAAAAATAGCCAGTAGCAAGGATAAAAAGCTAATAGGAATTGTTGGGAATAAAAGTATAATCATTGATATTAAAAAATAAGTATCAGTGGAATGAATAAAATATAACTAGAAATCATCAAAGAGAGAATTCATGAATTGGAAGATAGTAAGGAAGAATTCAGAGAGCACAACAGATCAAAGTGAGGAAAGAAAGAAAGAAGGAAGGAACAAAAGAAAGGAAGATTGGAGACATGATGGATACAGTGAAAGGCTAAAATTTGTGTCTATTAAGTGTTGCAGAAAAGAGAATTAAGAAAAATCACAAAGAAGACCTTTTTGAAGAGGTAATGTCTGAGAATTTTCCCAAATTAATGAAAGGCATGAATGATAAGTGAAAGTAGAGTCTGAACATTGAGAACGGTAAATAAAAATAAATCCACACATACACACAGAACATGAAAAGGATAAAATTTAAAACCCCAGAGGAAGTAGCCTCACAGAAGACTAATATTTTCTAAACACTGAGGTTAATAATTTACTCACAAAATTCTTGTGAGGATTAAATTATAAATATGAAAAATGCCTAGTAGGGTGCCTTGCATATAGAAAGCACTCAAAAACCAACAATAATAAGCCTGGATATTTATGATTTTTAAAGTTCTTTAAATCATCCATAAGTTGGGAATAGCTCATACATTTGCTAAATACCATTATAAAAGTTGGCTGCCCAGACTCAATGTCCTGCATGTAAGATTTACTGTTCTTTATTTTTCCATTTGGTGACCCATCACCCATTGGGCATTGCTAATTGGATAAAAACTAGAAATTTGATGCCACCTTGCTTCACTGTTAATTGCAAAGTGTCTATCAAATAGCTATTAATAAACTCAATTTCTGCCTAGGTCAAATCAGGTAAAGACACAAACTAGCCAAGTCCCCTTCTTCTTTATTTGAACAACTTTGGAATTCAAATCACCTTGTCCTTGAAGAAGGCGAATAAGACAAGAATTTCAACAAAAGTCCCCTTTTGTTGGCTGGAAAAAAATATTATATCTATATCTATGTTGTTGTTGTTATGTGCCATCCAGTCAGACCCAACTCATAGCGACCCCTCCTTGGGTTTCCGAGGCAGTATCACTATGGAAGTAGATTGCCCCATTTTCCTAAATGTATATATACATATACTCATTTTCCATTTGCCACAGCTTGGCAAGTCTTCCCACTTCACTGGGGCAGAGTGGACATGATCCCTGCTTGAAAGTCCCCTCCTCTGGGTCTGGAGGGTATTTCTGCACCAGAACACCAAGACCTAATGATGGCAGTACACACCCTCCACAGATAAGTGCTGTGTGGATAATTGCTACAAATTAGTGAATTGGAAGATAGTAAGGAAGAATTCAACAAACACAGCAAGTCAAAGAGAAAGAAAGGGAGGAGAGAGAGAGAGAGAAGGAGGAACAAGGAAGGAAGGAAGGAGGGAGGGAGGGAAGAAAGGAAAGGAGGAATGAAGGTTGGAGACATGATGGATACAGTGAAAGGCTAAAATTTGTCTAATAAGAATTACAGAAAAGAGAAAAATCACAAAGAAGAAGCTTTCAGTAATATACCAATGATCCTTTATCAATGCTGTATCTACTTTTTAATGACAATCATAATGTGTTAGAACTGGAAGGAAATTGAATGCTCATTTAGCCCAGGATCCACACAGTCAAATGCTTTTGCATAGTCAATAAACAGTAAATATCCTTCTGGTAATCATTTGACGTGTGGATCATAACAAATTATGGATAACATTGAGAAGAATGGGAATTCCCGAGCACTTGATTGTACTCATGAGGAATCTGTACTAGGAGGCTGTCATTCGAACCAAACAAGGGGATACTGCATGGTTTAAAATCAGGAAGGAGTATGTCAGGGTTGTATCCTTTCACCGTACTTATTCAATCTGTATGCTAAGCAAATAATCTGAGAAAATGGACTGTATGAGGAATGTGGCATCAGGATTGGAGAAAGACTCATTAACAACCTGCAATATGCTGATGACACAACCTTGCTTGTGGAAAGTGAGGATGACTTGAAGCATTTACTGATGAGGATTAAAGACTACTGTCTGTAGTATGGATTATACCTCAACATCAAGAAAACAAAAATCCTCACTACTGGACCAATAAGTAGCATCATGATAAATGGAGAAAAGAATGAAGTTGTCAAACATTTCATATTACTCAGTTCCACAATCAACACCCATGGGAGCAGCTGTCAAGAAATTAGACATTGTATCGCACTGGGCAAATCTGCTGCAAAAGACCTCTTTAAAGTGCTGAAGAGCAAAGATGTCTCTTTGAAGACTAAGGTGTGCCTAAACCAAGCCATGGTCTTTTCAATAGCCTCACCAGCCACTCCTCAGAAGGAAGATTGGGCAATCTATTTCCATAAAGATACCGCCTCCACAGTAGGAGAAAACACCAGGACCAACACCGAACAATGCTCACGAACCCTGGCTCCATTGGTAATAACTCACTGCTATGGAGTCCAATGGACTCATAGGGACTCCTCCTTTGGTTTCCCCAAGCAGTATCACTACGGAAGTAGATTGCCTAACCAGCTTTCTGAGGAGTGGCTGGTGAGTTTGAACCACCAGCCTTCTGGTTAGCAGTCAGTTGCCTTAGGCACTACGTCCCCAGAGCTCGGGGCCCATCAGTAATAGAAGGCCGCAGTTGGAACCTGTGCTGGTTGGGGAGGGGTGGTTTGAGGATTTCGTTGTGTTACAGACCGGAAACTACATTTCCCAGCATCCCTGCTGTGACGGAAGTATCTTTCCCAAAAGCCTGAGTGTGAGTCAACGAGACTTCCGCTTCTTTCCACGGAAAACTGAGGACGTCATGAATTGATGGGCTTTACGGTGTCTACGCTGTGAGGGCTACCAGGGCTACTGGGCTTCTGTCCCGCGCAGGCGTTTCTCGCCAGCCCTGCGGAGAGACTTTTTAACAACCACAACCAAGGAAGAATATGATGTCAGGCACGTGGACATAACTCCTTTAGAGCAAAGGAAATTAACTTTTGATACACACGCACTGGTTCAGGACTTAGAGACTCATGGATTTGACAAAGCACAAGCAGAAACAATTGTATCAGCCTTAAGCAGTCTATCCAATGTCAGCCTGGATACTATCTATAAGGAAATGGTCACTCATGCTCAACAGGAAATAACAGTACAACAGCTAATGGCCCATTTGGATTCCATCAGGAAAGATATGGTCATCTTAGAGAAAAGTGAATTTGCAAATCTGAGAGCAGAGAATGAGAAAGTGAAAATTGAATTAGACCAAGTTTAAACAGCAACTGGTAAATGAAACCAGTCGAATCAGAGCAGATAATAAACTGGACATCAACCTAGAAAGGAGCAGAGTAACCGATATGTTTACAGATCAAGAAAAGAAACTTATGGAAGTGACCACAGAATTTACCAAAAAGGATAACCAAACCAAAAGTGTTATTTCAGAAACCAGTAATAAAATTGACAGTGAAATTGCTTCCTTAAAAAAAGGTTCAAGACTACCCAGAGGCGTTTTAGAAGATTAAATATCAGACATTGAAACCCTTATGGAGCACAGTTTTACTCTGACATACATGCAGTTATTGTGACAGGGAATCAACTCTACAGCAATTGGTATTGCTGGCACAGCAAATGGGTACCCTGCATGTGATCCACATAATGATGTTATGGAAGAAGTGTCATTGTTCCAAATTTATAGCAGGTCTGCTCAAAGCCACACCAGAAATAAATAGACCTAGCACTACAGACTATTCAAAGTCTATATCCTCCAGAGAATTACAGTCTTCACCCCACTAACACATCTTCTGCAAAAGTTTAGAGACAAATGTTCCTCCTGTCTTTCTCTTTCTCTCTCTCTCTCTCTCTCTCCTTGCTGATCCTGCTGCAGGAGATACCATATCCTCCTATTCCACCACACCCCTCCCAAGCTCTCTCTCTCTCTCCTTGCTGATCCTGCTGCAGGAGATACCATATCCTCCTATTCCACCACACCCCTCCCAAGCCTTGGCTCCAGTTCATCCAAAAAAGGGTCTCAGGATTCATTCCCATAATGTTCAGTAATGTCCTGTCTTCTGGTAGATCCTGTCTAAATAAAAAAAGACATTGGGTAATTTTATTCCTAGCTTTTTGTTATGATTTCTTTGTACACTTCATCAAATCCAAAAAGGATTTCAAACAGCTTAGAAAGAAAATACCATGCAATAGAATTGGTTAAAAACAGATCAAGAGCCACAAAATGGAGCAAAATTTAGAATGATGGAGGGATAGAGAGAATTATACCTGAAATCTAGACTCAGCAAAGCACTGTAATTTAACACCGAACACAACTCTGCCTCCTGGGAGCCAGGGCAAAAGAGGAACTACGAGTAATAATTCATCACTTTAGACACACATTCCAACCACAAACATTATGAGGAATTTATTTCATGGGCCCTTATGTAATAATGTAAACATCTGACCCCATTGTAGCTGAGAGCAGAGGTATCTTCCAGGTCACGTTGATAGGTGTGCTCTTTCCTGTGGGCAGTATGTCAAGATGCGAGTCAAGGCTGTGTCTTCACAACAAGCCAGCCCACCTAGAAAACACACCACACATCATCTGCCCAGTGGTCAATATACATCAACCTCAGGCATTCCAGAATAAGCTCATCTGGACCAGACCTTCTAGCACCCATCTTTCCTACAAGCCTTCCTCTTTCCTAGACTCTATCCAATCCTAACGTTCTAGTCTTTGTCTCCTATTCTCCTCCTTGGATCTAACTACAGATTTAGCATCACAGGTTTGACTCTCAGCATCCTCTAGATTGTTGCTGTTACCCATCCTCTCTCTTCAAGTACAACCCACCCACACTGGACAGAACTTTCCCAAAAGGGCAGTGCAATGGTTGTAGGTGCTTTCCCAGCTAAAAGCAAAGTCAGTGGGGCCTCTAGTACATAAATGAAGAACAGATCAAGCAATGGCTCGCCATCAGTGATAAAGACTTGAGTGTGCTTACCTTGAGGAGTTCTGGTTAAGGAAGTGGTTAAAGCATTTGGCTGCTAACCAAAAGGTCAGCAGTTGAACCCACCAGTTGCTCTGCAGGAGAAAGACGAAGCCATCTGCTTCCGTAAAGATTTACAGACTTGGAAATCCTATAGGGCAGTTTTACTCCATCTTATAGGATCTTATAGACTCAATGACAGTGTATTTTATTTATTTGTTTGGTATTTACCTTGTCATTTCATTTATTCATCTGTTCCTTCAAGTCTTCAAGCTCTTATAACGTGCCAAGGACTAGTTTTGCAATTACTACAATAATGATCGTGTGATAAAAAAGATCCAAATAAGACAAGCTGAATTATCAGATATGTCTAGGCAGGGAGGAGTGTGCCCATGGGTTGGCAGATGATGTTCCTACAAGTGTATTTGTATGTGCTGTAAGAATGTCCAGGTATATAGTAGAGCTGACAAGGGACAAGGTTGTGATGACTTCTTGACCATAGCTAGCTACCCAGAGGTAGCAAGTATTTGGACCTGTGGGCTCAGGACCATGGTCACAAGGGACATCCAGCTCAATTTAGCATACACAAAAACATTCCGCATCCTACTTTGGTGAGTAGCAACAGGGATCTTAAAAGATTGTAAGCAGCCATCTAGATGCAATGATGGGTCTCTCCTCGTCCAGAGCAAAGAAGAATGAAGAAAACCAAAGATGCATGGAAACTATTAGTCCAAGACACTGGAAGATCATGTGTTCCTCAGCCTATATGACCATGAGACAAGAAGAATTAGATGGTGCCCAGCTACCACTGTCAACCACTAGAAAGGGGAATCTGTGTAGGAGATCCTGGATAGAGTGGGAGAACAATGTGGAACAAAACTCAAAATCATTAAAAAAA